TTTATTTGTAAAGTAATAAGAATTTTTTTTTGATAAAAAATATAAAAATTTGGATTTCGATTTATTGGCCAATGTATCAGTTATCGGCTTTCAAATATAAAGAATTATCGGTTATTGGTATCTGTCAAAATGTTCATATCGGTGTATCCCTATATTACCTTGACATTAGATTACAGAAAACGCCTTAATGCTACTGCCTGAGTATTTCTAATATAGCAATTTGTAATTGTAATACATTTTTTGTCCTCTTTTGAAAAGCCTTAAAGGAGTAGTTCACTTTTAAAAACCTTTTGCTTATAATTTACTCGCCCCCGTGTCATCCAAGATGTCCACGCCTTTCTTTCTTCAGTTGAAAAGAAATTAAGGTTTTTGATGAAAACATTCCAGGATTTTCTCCATATAATGGACTTCAATGGGGTCCAAACGGTTCAAGGTCCAAATGAGAGTTTCAGTGCAAACTGTTCAAAGGGCTTTAAACGACACCAGACGATGAATAAGGGTCTTATCAAACGAAACGATCGCTCATTTAATAAATAAATAACAAAGTTTAAGTTTTATAAGCTCAAATGCTCGCCTTGCTCTGTTCTGTGTGACTCTCCTGTTCAAACTCGTTCATCAAAATGAACGAATCTTTTTTTCCTGAGTCATTTCATTCATTGAATTAATCAAATGACTCGAAAAAAGATTCGTTCATTTTGATGATTCGTTTTGAGTGTGGATCCCATTGAAAAAATCCTGAAATGTTTTCATCAGAAACCTTAATTTCTTTTCGACTGAAGAAAGAAAGACATGGACATCTTGGATGACATGGGGGTGAGTAAATTATCAGCAAAAGTTTTTTTCAGCAAAAATGCTACACTCTAAAAAATTCTGGGTTGTTTTAACTCAATTTTTGGGTCAAATATGGACAAACCCAAATGTTGGATTAAAAATGGAATTTAAAATTTAACCCAACGGCTGGTTATGTCCATATTTGACCCAAAACTGATGTTTTGTTGATTTCCTTCTGTTGCTGTTGGGGCAAATGAGATCGCCCAAAACACAGTTGTCATTTCCCAACTATGACAACTTCCTCTTCTGAGAACCCCGGAAATGTGAAAAAGGTCAAGCAAGCAAACGCATCAGATTCATTCACCAGCTCGTTAGTAGAGACTCCAAGACCCGAAATAGACGAGTCTGATAAGTGAGACATCCAAAATGAGCGCTTTAGTTGGTGTGCTTCCAGGAATATGGTTGGGAAACACGGCCCTGAACGCTCAGGGTATTCTCGTGGCTTCATGGAGAAACATGAACATGCAAAACTGCATTAAAATGCCATAGAAATGATGCAATAGACCACCCGTCCCAAACAACATACGATTCAGTTCTCAGACCTGCGCAGTGGTCTTCAGTCTCAGTGCTGCGACTTCTCCGAACGCTTGCAGCAGGACTCATGTTCTCCTTCAGCGCTAAGATTATCCAGCGTACGCCTCTAGATTACATTACACAAATATATCAACCAGACGCCAGCAACCTGGACTCCTTCAAATCTGAAACCTGACACTCGGACTTGCATCTTCATTATATTCATTTAATGATTATTGATGGTGGTAGAGAATAGCAGTGATGTAACCGACACTGGCTGATCACATGACGATGGCCACATGCCTTATTTTTTATCCAAATTGGAATAAAATGAGAATTGTGAAATTATTAACATTTTTGATCCTTGTTGCATGGTGCCACATGGGTCTAAAAACAAAACTTATTTTTATTTGTTCATTTATTTGCATTTGTATAGAAAATTTGAACCACTGTCCTACTTCATGAATATTACGATATTATGAACATTAACATTACGGTTTTCTGTAAAGTTCCTTTAAAACAATGTGTATTGTTAATCGAGTTGTCTTAAGTCAAACCATCATTTTCACTGAACTCTCATTACGATCCGATATAAATAGAAACATTAGTGCAAATTTGAGCTGTTGGTGGCGCTAGACGCTTTGTGATAAAGACCCCAAATATCACATTAGAGTAGATGAGACACTTCTCTAGCAGTGTGCCAAATTTCACAACTTTTGAGAAATTTTGGCCAGCAAAATGTGAAATAAGTTCAGAATTTCAGTTCTTGACCTCTACGAAAACTGCTATGCAAGTATAAAGTTAATGGAGTTTCAAAAGTCTATTTTCCAGCCGTCATGTCCTTGGTTTCATCTCGGTCCAACATCTTATCAGTCTATCGATTTGCTCATTGCTTGTGACATCAGTGACGTAGCAGAACACATAATGGACTGACCTGAGCTGAATAATATAACCAAACACGAGGCAGATCGGATCCTGCACAGAAGAGCGCACACACACACACACACACACAGTGTTCCCCTGATGAAAGTGTTCAAGAGTGTGACGTTACTCTACTAAGATGATCAGATGCATGATTCAGACCCAGGCCGTATCCTGAACTCGAGTGAGAGAGTGACTGTGAGTAAGTGAACTCTGTGAGAAATCACCCAGAACACCCTAGCATTGTGCTATCAACCACTAAGTAACCAGATATCAACACTGTAGAGTTGGGGTGAGTTTTCCATGTATTATAAAAACACTTTATTATCACAATTATAATAAATCAAATCAAGTTTTATCACAAATTTCTAATTTTAAGCTGCCAATTAGTTGACATTGGAAAGGTGAAGTTCTAACATTGTGTTTGTTCTCTGAGGTTATTTCGGTCTTTGGGTTTGCGCAATAATTCCAGTAGGGTCTAAGAAGAAGCAGCTATTACAGCGAGCCGCTTCCGCTATTGGAAAAATGACACTAAAAAATTCATTCTTTGAATTATTTGAAAGCGACGTACACAACACAATTAACATCAAGCAAGTTGAACATGAGTACAGTTTAAGTTGGAGCACTAAAATTGTAAAATATTGAACATTTTAATAAAAATGAAAAAAAAAAAACGTATTATAACATGACGAAAGCACAACGAAAAACTAAAATACTAAAAAATAAAAGCTAACTCAAAATATTAATAAAACTAAAAAACACTGGTGCGCGCAATTGAATTTTAATTTGCCGTTTTTTCACATTTCCGAGATGCCAGTACAGTTTCAGTTTTGCTTAAAACACATTTGTTGAGGTTTAGTTTTTATAATAAATGCCAAGCCTTAACAAATATTTCATGTTTTTTATACTTTATACAGTATATATACTTATATTTTTAATTTCTGTTCTGAATACGTCAAATGTAAAGAATTCAGTGTTGAGTGAGGGGAACTAAAATAGTGTTTGTAAATGATATATTTTACATTATTTCTGAATGTAATCCGATGCAACTTACCTGTGTGTGTGAGTGTGTGTGTGTGAATCTCCGTCAGGTTAACTTAGTTTCTGGGAAATTCAGGTTCAGAATGTGATATATGACACCACCTCCACGTCACACTTTACATTTTGTGTATATTATCTGAAACGATCGATGGCTATTTACATCTCTGACTGAAACCTGACAAACAGGTTACTACATTTCACAGAATAATGACTTTGCATATTTAAATAAATTGTGTAAGTGAATGTTTACTGTGCTGGGCCTCAAACAGACTGGCGTACACGTCCTAACAGTACTGGAATAAAACTACTCCACGGATAGATTGCATAGTCAATTCTTTGATGATCATAAACTGTTGTTTCCTTCTAAAAGATCCAAAATATTTCAAGATGAGGACAACAAATAAACACATCTATATTAGTCATAACTAGTCCATGGTATTCTGTTCTGTTAAAACATGTTTTGCATCAAATGTTTGCATGCAAACCCACAAAAGCAATGAACCTATGTAACTGAAGAGCTTAGAAGTCACAATCTACATTTGGTGTTAAAGTGTAAATTACATGCAATGCCAGTAATTAATGGTTGCTCATGAATTTTTAAAGGTCCAATCCCTTGTGGAAGTGCAATGCATGAGCGTGTGTGTGAATGAGTTTAGCATTGGTGGGCGGATCACACATTACAGAATGTTCTAGAATAGATTAACATAAAACTCAATTCAACTACAACACATGGAGTCAGTCAGATCACTCATTGTTACTTGGCAGTTTAGTGTTTAAACATAGTTTACAAAGCAAAGAAGACAGCGGATTTGCTATAAAACTGCTCATCAGCATAAAAATGTGTAGAGTAGGTGGAGTAAGAACAATATTTTCCTCCGTAAACAAATAAAGCTCCTGTTTAGATGCCGATTCCTCGTTGCAATCATGCACAAACAAGGAAAGGCATCAGCCAAACATGTATTCCACACACAAACGGCATAAAATCATACAAATATGGTGTTAAACACTTAATATAAGAGTAACACTGAGCTCTGAGTAGCACTAGTGACTAAAATAATAAGCACTATAGCTAATTAAAAAGTACAAGTAGCTTGTGGAATAGTCACAAGTATCTAAAAAAAGTACTAGCAGCATGAAAATATATACTGGTGTTTTTAAAGGATGAAATGTTAAAACGGCTTGCCATAATGCTGCAGGTTTGATTGACAGGGTGCACGAGCTTCTGCGCGGAGTGCGCGCGCCAAACACCCGCTTTGTGTGCGTGAAACCAACACAATGCTGTTCGTCAAAATATTCCAAACACACATTTAAACCCCGGTTTTTTGGAGTATATCGTTCAAATACGAGCTATTGTGTTTTAAACATGTTGCATCAGTGTTTGCAAGCGCCTATACTGAGCAAGCTTTAGTAAGTTCAGTGATATATTGCACGCACGCAAAGGTTACTTTTGACGTTTATTAGGCGCCTTGAAACAATTTCTACTTTTTAAAAACATTGATATAATCTTTAAAGTGCTCGTTCTAGGAATTAAAAACAACTCAAGACATTACATCCACGTTAATGCTTTTAAATGGTTCGTTTCTTCCTCGCGCATAAACAGATCAGTGATGTAGCAAAGGCGCAACATCATCAATCTCTCACTTTCATTCTGGAAATAAATGAGTGTGTGTGTGTGTGTGTGTGTACGAACCCACCTGGATCCTGAAGGAATCAGCGCAAATCTCGCAGGATGAAGAGAAACTGGCGTCGCTCCTCGAGATCAAACCCGTTTCACTGGGAGGAGCGCGTGGAAATTTCCACCATGTGATGGCAAACCCTCCACGAGCATCAAATTACAGCAACACACACACACACACACACACACACTTCCAGAAATCGTCTTCGGGATCAGGGGCTGCGCGAGTGTGTTCGGCAGATCGACCGTGTTGCTCTGAGTAAAATAAACTAAAATAAAGTAAAATAAACTAAAATAATAAACTAAATAAATTAAAATTATAAAATAAAGTAAAATAAATAAATAATAAATAAATAAACACACACTAAACACCCTGTTTAGTGTTTATTTATTTATTATTTATTTATTTTACTATTTTAATTTATTTAGTTTATTATTTTAGTTTATTTTACTTCATTATTTGGTGTATTTTATTATATTTTATTTTCAAGTTTTTTTAATTGTAAAAGTGCTTTATTTCATTTTATTTATTTTTTGTTTTATTTTATGTAACATTGCTTTTTATTTAACTTTCCTTTAATTATTTATTGTATTATTACATATTATACCTACCAGTCGCTCAGTTGGTGAACACGAATGAACACAGGTCAGAAATCAGATTGTGAATCATAGCATTCGTATTCATCCAGTTCCTTCTGCTTGAAGATCTGTGCCGATGGCGGTCATGTCTTCACAGGATCCGGCTGACTACAGTAACCTCGGGATAAAGAGAGAGACTAATATTAGCATAGATGCCATTCTTCTTACGAAGTATCAAGTACATCTGGTGTCAGTGTTCCTGGTTCCGGTTGACTTAAAGGGATACTCCACTTTTTTTTTTTGGAAATAGGCTTATTTTACCACTCCCCCAGAGTTAAACAGTTGGGTTTAACCGTTTTCGAATGTATTCAGACGATTTTTTGATATTTAGAAGAATATCAGTATCCAGACAGTTTCTGGTCTCATTGACTTCCATAGTATATTTTTTCCTACTATGGAAGTCAATGAGACCAGAAACGGTCTGGTTGCTGATATTCTTCTAAATATCAGAAAATCAGCTGAATGGATTTCGAAAACGGTTAAACCCAGCTGTTTAACTCTGGGGGAGTGGTAAAATGAGCCTATTTCCAAAAAAAAGGTTATGGCGCTTTTCCACTGCGTGGTACGGCTCAGAACGGTTCGGCGCGCTTCGCTTTTCCACTGCGTGGTACGACTCGGTTCGCTTTAGCTCGGTTGCTTTTCCACTGCAGTTAGTAGCGCTTTAAAGTGGGTGGGATTAGTTTAAAAGCAGTCGCTCGCTTGCGGTGGCTGTTACTGCATAAATACTATAAATTTAGCGGGTTTGGTTTCTCACGTTGCAAATACAATGACGCTGGTAGTGACGATTCTGTCTGACCAATCAGAGATCTGCAGTGTTTCACGTCACATTTTAGTACTGGTACAGTACACTTGGAACCTCAACAGACCAGGTACCATTTAAAGCGAGCCAAAGCAAGCCGCGCCGTACCATGCAGTGGAAAAGCGCCAAAGCACGCCATACCGTACCGTACCATGCAGTGGAAAAGCGCAATTAGTTCACCGACTTAGTTCAGTAGTTACTCTCCCTCATGTTGTTCCAACCCGGTAAGACTTTTGTTCATCTTCGAAACACAAATGAAGATATTTGTGATTAAATCTGAGAGCTGGATCACTCCTCCATAGGGGAATGAAACTAGCCGGCCCAGAAAGTTATTAAAGACGACGTTAAAATAGTCCGAGTGACGACAGTGGCTCAACCTTTTAAGTTTATCAAGCGACGAGAATACTTTTTGTGCACAAAAATAACGACTTTATTAAACTATGTTCTTCAGTGTGAGCCTTATATTTTTTTAATCAAAAATATCTTAATATGTGTTCAGAAGATTAATGAAAGTCTACCGGATTGGAACAACATGAGGTAGAGAGTTTTTATTTTTGGTAATTTATACAGCCTAACAATCCTTCAACGAATTACAGATATGCGATAATGTGTTAACGTCTGGTCAAAGAGAAGTGTTTTTAGTCTTTAATCTGACAGAGTGTATCTGCTCTCTGAACAATGGATGACCGTTCTAGAGTTTAGGTAGCTAAAGGATTAGAGATATTATCAACTGGCCAGAATTTTGAGATTGCAATAAACTGATAATAAAACGTTCGTACAAAGTTATCCGGAATTTAATAACGTTCTCAAAATGCTCACACAAGAAAAAAACAATCTGAAACGTTTTAGTTTGTCTAAACGTTACTATGTTTCAGAACGTTCAGAGATTATTCAAAAGTAACATTCCCATAATCTTCACACAATGATACATAAACAATGTAATGTTTATCTAAAAGAGAACGGGAATGCAAAACGTTTGTTAGCTACTGGCATTTTTAGATGCTCTTGCAGTTTAGACTTCTATCAAATCTTGATTTCTACTTTATTCATTAATTAGTGCACAGCATTTTATCCACGTTGAGTCTCACGTAACTCATGGGAGTGCAGTGGCGGTGTCATATTCAATTGCAATCTTTTTTTCATTGTTAATAAGCAGTGATCTTATTGTTAGTCTGTTAACAGGAGGATATTTACACACCGCCTATGAATTCAGATGACTTTGCATATCTGTGAGTGAACAGATATCCCTGCCAGCTTCACTCGTGTGGATACATGTGCATGTCCTTGAGCGAAATCAAACACACTCATCCCGGCGCTTCTGAAAGAGAGATGATGCAAGATATATGCAAAAAAAAAAAAAAAATCGCCATCGGCAGCATTTAAATCATGCTAACGGATCGCCTTCTTCTCGACTCCGTTGAAATGCTACGTTTGGTGCATTGCATCATGGGATACAGTATTCAATGCAGTGTGCTCTATTCAGTGTTGGGAGTAACGCATTACAAAAGTAATACATTACAGTAACATATTACTTTTTGCTGTAACGCAGTAGTGTAAGGCATTACTAATCAATTTTCAGTAATATTTTACTCGTTACATGTTCAGTGAGGCTTGTATTACAGTTGTATTACAGTGTATTGTCTGCTTTTTCTTCTTAAAGGCAACAGACTATGTGAAAGTTTTAAAGCAGTCTTTTAGTGCCAGTTCAGAGCGGTCGCGTCTGTAACATTGTTTTTCCCTCATAAATGCGAACACGAAAACTAAAATAAAATGAATATTTTAAGTTCTATGGAGACTGGAGAGCCAAAGCTTCCTCGTCCTCGCGCAGTGTAATTAACAGAATTACAAAAAATATATTTTGACTCCTATTTTTTTGTCACGCATGAATGTGTGTCTTTTTCCTAATATTAAAAATAAAACAGACTGATATTTGTCTAATGTCTGGAGTCCTTTAAGGAAGTAGCCTATATACGTTTCAATACATGTATTTTCTGAGAATTTTTATTTCAAGTTTTGACTGCAAATGTCATGTCCATAATGCTGGACTTCCCCAATTTTAAATAATTTATCTTCAACTAGTTTTGTGGTGTAGGTCTACGTATTTTATAATGTTAACTTCAAATAATATTAATAGCCTAATTTAAAGATAAGGCAGCATTGGATCTGGACGGTAAGGAGAATAACGCTGGAGTTGGAAGAGGTGTGTCGTGATTCTGTAGGTTCGTGGATCTGAGTCGTGTGGCGAATCGCGATTTCGGTTTCATATTGCATATCGTTACAGCCCAAAGTTAAGTTCTACTTAGTTATTTTGGTGAAAGTAACTCAAAAGTAATACATGAGTGATGTAACGCATTACAATTCTGAGACAGTAATATTGTAAGGTAATGAATTACTTTTAAATAACATGAATTACTTTTAAATACCTAATGTATTACAGTTTGGAAGTAACTTGCACAACACTGGCTCTATTTGTACTTCAGATTTTTGGCAAATGCATGTGATGCAAGTTTAAAATGCATACAGAGACTAGCTGTTGACATCCATTTGAGAAATGTCTTCATACTGGTGTAAGGTTCATGCAGTATTGCAGGTATTTTTGGATGGCCATTACTTTAGCAAGTGACCCACATAGCAGAAATAGATCTTGAGCACGGACGTCTGAACTGAGACTGAACCTGATAAGATCACATAGACAGCGGCTGCTTGTGTCACACAGGTAGTGTATGTGAACCCAGCTGACAAACAGGGGTGCGTTTCCCGAAAGCATCGTTAGCCAACTATGGTCGCAAGTTCCGTCGTTTTCCAATAGAGTTCAATGGAAATTGCGACCATAGTTGGCTAACGATGCTTTCGGGAAACGCACCCCATTCAATTTTTGAAAGTTCTCTGAATGTTTCAAATGTTTTTAATAAGTGATCATTGAGGGAACAGACATTATGGGATTGTTACTTTTGAATGAACGTTCTGAAACAAGTAGTAACATTTAAAAAAACATTAGCCTAGATGCGCATCCAGAACGTTTCCATGAACGATTAATAAATGACATTTGAATTCATGCAGGTAATGCTGAAAAAATACAATGGAATGTTGTATAAACAAACATTTAAAAGTTTGGAATGTTCAGAAAACCGTTTTTTTTAATGTATATTAGCCTATGTTAGCAAATCATTCCATATAAGTCCCTCCCCTTCCGGTCGACCACCATGGGACCTTATTTCGGAAAAATATTGAATGGTAGTCAATGGCGAGAGACAACAAATATTTTGATCTCGTTTGAATTATGCCCTGAATTACACATATGATGTTTGTCAATTTAAAAGATACATTTTAAGGTAAAGAAAGTCGCAGTTTGATGTAAAACCGTTGAGGTATAAGACTGTGAAAATACGTAATTACAAAGACTACAAACCCCAAAGGCGCACATTTTCTCTGAATGAATGAAGCTAACTTTACTGAGGCTAATGTCTGTCATTGTTTCTATAGTCTTACGTTATAATCGTAACGTTACGCCGTCATACCTGAGTGTTTTGTACCAGACTGCACACACACGAGCAGCGGATCTCACTCGTTGTTTCGCTTCCCGGGAGATGTAGTTCATCGAGCGATTTTCACATAAAACTAAATGTTACTCTTCAGTTTTATGACAAACTGCGACGTTTTTGACTTTCAGAATTATCTTTTAAATTGACAAACATCA